TTATAAATTATAAGCATGTTTATACAAGATTAATCTAAATTAAGAACAACCATTAGATGATAGAATATCCCAGAATATCCAAGCATACTCTAGGTATATCCACTGCCGTTTGCTTAAGAAAACCAAAAATTAGTATATTTTTACCCAATTAAATTTAGTTGGGAAATATTTATATTTTATCCCAATTTATATTTCTATTTAAGAAAAAATATCTATAGATGTGAGTGCTTGGCCCTCACATAGAGGTATTATGCAATATTCTATTCTATTTATTTATTTCATAACTCTAATAAAATAAACTCGAAAGTCCATGTAATTTAAGAAATGCTTATAGTTGAAACTTTCCATGAAACTTTAGCTGATGATATATATAATTTATAGTTTGATGAAGGGAGGATACAAAATGAATGTCTTGCTGGGACTTGGTTTGGGAATTTTGGCACTTACCGCATTCTTCTACCTCTGCAATAAATTTCTTATGGCCAGGGACGCGAGATTGGAAGAAGATGCCAGGAGCATTTTGATGACAACTTCTCCTGCTGCTGCGCTCGCAATCACAAGCCCGATGTTCAGATGGATGCAAGCTCCTGGAGATCCCAAGTCCGCTCAGAGTGTTGTAGAGTGTGCAATTTGCTTGACAAGGCTGAAGGAGGCGATTGTGAGAGTGCTGCCCGGCTGCAACCATGTTTTCCACCGCAGCTGCATCGATCTGTGGCTCTCTTGCAACACCACGTGCCCAATCTGTAGGCACGATTTGGTCGCAAACCATAGATCCTAAAAGATGACTATTTCCGAGTATGTCCAACCAATATGGGAGCAAAGTCTAAGCTTTTCTTTTCCTTAAACCTTGGGGAGATTTGCAAGAAAGAAAATGGATCCGTGGCGCAACGGTAGCGCGTCTGACTCCAGATCAGAAGGCTGCGTGTTCGAGTCACGCCGGGTTCACTAAACGTGCTTATCCTTTTGATCAAATAACATTCTTGATGGAAAAAATGCAGGAGTAGAAAAACCTTGCAAAGATTTGGAGATACCAAAGTCTGGTCCACCTTATTGATTCTATTGAAATTTTTTCCAGAGTTTGGTCGCCATTCTTCCTCGTTCCTCAAGCTCGATCGAGCTCGAGCACCAAAAGATCATGGCGGGCACCAAAGCTCTGCGAGTTTCTAGAGTGAAGAAGGCCTTCATCTGGTACACTGTAACATTTGGAATGTATGAAGGTGAGATTTGGGAGGTCTGTCTCGCAAACATCGTGCTCGCTCTTGCGTTTCTCCCGCCCCTCTATCTCATCCACAAGCACGCCATTAGATTACTGGTAAGCGAGGTTATTAGGCTGTGGGACAAGGTGTTAGTGCTGTCGCTGGGAGCCCTAAGCGTTTGGATGCTCGCGTTAGCAATGCCCACCAGGTTGATGCCGCCACCGCCACCGCCACCGCCACTGCAAAATTCGTGCGCTCTCAGCAGCAGCGCTAGCGCGTCTTTGATCTTCCCGGTGCGTCACAGCGTCGCGGGGCTTCGATTCGGCACGAGATTCAAGCATGCTTATACTTCTCTCAGTTTTGCCGCGCTCGTCGCGTCGCGAGCTTCCATCCCTCGCTGGAATCGCTGCAATCGGGTCTTTGCCGCCTCGTTCCAAGGTGAGTTTGATGCATTTTTTCTTCCTGCTAGGCTGGAACTTCATTAGTTTGGAAATCGAGCTGGTAGGAAACTAAGTTCTTGTTGGAGTTGGTCGTTGTTTCTAGTTTTCTTTCCTGCTTGAGGTCCAGCTTTGATGCTAACTTGGTTGCTGCCTGAGAAAAGTTCTATAGTCTGTGTTCTTGTTTCGTGTCAGATTTCCAGTTCTCGCTAGGAATTCTTTTTCTCGGCTGAAGTATAGTTTCCTTTGATGCTAACTTGGTTGGCTTCTTTTTTCAGCGAAGGCTGTTGCAAATCCAGTGGAGGTCGAGAGTGGCTTCGATGAAATGGTCGCTGGCACCAAACGAAAATACTTCATGCTAGGTGGCAAAGGCGGCGTGGGAAAGACGAGCTTAGCTGCGTCTCTTGCTGTAAAATTCGCAAACAGTGGCCACACTACACTCGTTGTGTCGACGGATCCCGCTCATTCACTTAGCGATTCCTTTGCACAGGTAATCTTCTTTTGTATGTACTTGGTTGTTTTTCTCTTCGCTGCTAGAGAAAGTAGTTTGACGAAATTTTGCGACGTCTAGGACTTAAGTGGTGGCAAACTCGTTCCTGTTGAGGGCCCGGACAGTCCTTTATTCGCCTTGGAGGTCTGTAGTAGTTTCTCTTCCTCGCTCGAACCTTGATGGCGAAGTTATTTTTCGACAGATCAATCCTGAGCAAGCGAGATCGGAATTTCGTGCTGCTGCTCAGACAGGTAGTGGAACTGGCGTCAAAGACTTTATGGACAGCTTTGGCCTTGGTGGATGGGTAGAACAGGTAATGTATTTGCTGGTCAAGCAGAAACTGGCTTTCGACTTATATCTTCAGCATTTGCTTTGCAGATCAGCGAACTTAAGCTCGGAGAATTACTGGACACTCCTCCGCCTGGACTAGACGAAGCCATTGCCATATCAAAGGTTTGCTGTTTCGATTCCTATTTGGCGAGCGTTCTAGAACTCGTGACGCACAGGTCGTCCAATTTATGCAATCCCCGGAGTACGATCGTTTTACTCGCATTATCTTCGACACTGCACCCACTGTAAGCTATAAAACTCTCGGGTTCTTCTCTGGGCTGAACGTTCGGTGTGTCTTGCCAGGGGCATACCTTGCGATTATTGTCGCTACCGGACTTTTTGGATGCATCAATTGGGAAACTCCTCAAGGTACAAGATTTTATAGAAAGTTTTCCACGCGTAGCGTAATGTTCTTGGCACCGTAATGTTCTTCACCAGCTCAAGCAGAAGCTCGCTTCCGCCACCAATGCGATTAAATCGGTTTTCGGCCAAGGAGATGGATCAGACACGGCTGTAAGCATACAAACTTTTACTCGCTACTGGCTTTTGATTTTTCTTTCCATGGAGATAATTTGCTTTCTGTTTCCTTGCAGACCAACAGACTAGAGCAACTTAAAGAGAGGATGGTCATGGTCCGTGAGATTTTCCGAAATAAAGAAGCAACGGAGTTCGTCATTGTCACCATCCCAACGGTAAGACGATCTCAAAACCGCTGCTATACTTTCCACAACTTTAAAATCGCTTGCAGGTGATGGCCGTAAGCGAGAGTTCCAGGCTCAAGCAATCCCTCGAGAAGGAAGGCGTTCCTGTGAAGAGATTGATTGTAAACCAGGTACTGGCTGCCTCACAATCGGACTGCAAATTCTGCTCCATGCGTCGAAAGGTAATCTGGTCTCCGAAGTTTTGTTTTTTGTTTCTCCCTCTTTCCCGGTCAGCTTTTGTTCGGCTAGAGAAGCACACGAAACATTTAATGACTTTATTTGCGTTGCTATTTTTTTCCAGGACCAGAGCCGAGCATTCGATATCATCAATAGCGACCAGAACCTCAAGGATCTCCAGCTTATTCAATCGCCACTGATGGATGTGGAAATTAGAGGCGTACCGGCGCTCAGATTCGTGGGCGATACAGTCTGGCGATAAGTGAAAGGTACAAGCATCTCTAAAACTCTTATCGCTGGTTCGCGTCTCAACAGGAAAAACCAACACCGAGAGCGAGAGAAAACGGAGGAGAGAACAAAGAGAGTGTACAGTGGCATGGAACTTTTAATAACTGGATCACTTGGTCCACGTACGTATCTTCTTTCATTCGTTTTTGATTCGTCTTCTCCACAGCGTCGTTGCTATTAACTCCTGGCTGATCTGCTGGATCTTTCGTGTTCCGTTCTCTTCCGAGTCCTCGAATTCTTTCCACTGCGATCGCTCTTTCTTTTTTTTTTGCTTATCTTTCGTCAATGTCTTCACTTTTTTTTTGGAATCAGGATTCTTAAAGCTTTTTTTGCTGCGTTTTATAACCTGGGAGATTTGACCAGGGCTCCCCGCCTTTTTATCCCAGTTCGCCTCCTCATTGCGGGATGATCTCAGCACAAAACTTTGGAGCGCGAGATCATTGGGATGAATGAAATAGCTATCTTTCTAGAGACCAGCACAGCTAGCGCTACTATATGCAAAATTTTGTAAAAACTAGGCAGTGTGGCGTAGCCTAGCTAGTCCTGGGACGAAAGAGATCACTCTTTCACTTTCATGGCATTCTCCCTCAGACTTTCCCCAAAATTCTCCACACACACGAAAGCTGCTGCTACAAACTGCTCTTGGCTTGTCTCCCTTGTTTTATCAAAATATCATAGCTTCAACAATAGCATGGAATGGAAGCTCCAAAACCTCGGCCAACTTGTCATACCCATATAATGTAACCATCAATCAATCAAGCAATCAGTCAATCACAGGCTAAGAGAGCAAGGTTTGATTTGATTCTCATGTGGAAAACACTATAGTTTCTTAAGGAGAAAGTATAAAAATCAAGAGACATTGTCCCCGAATTGTCCCATGGGTGGCAAACAAATCACAAACGCTAGAATGGCATCAAATGCTTCTTCATTAACACAAACACCTCCAGGCAAGAAAAGAAATTTCTTGGTGATGACCAAGTTTCAAACATATTTAATAATCTGGCTTATCAGCCAAACCGCAGTTAACTACCATTAAGCAGGATTTATCGCAAGTCCACTGTCCACGCGCGGTTGCGAATGAAAAAAGAGAAATCTACCAGGGGAGGGGAGCGGCATGACGTGGAGAACGTCACACCGCACGATCCAACGCTAACGAACGGTGGGTAGGACGTCCACTGTGACGTCCGCCGACTGACGGCCGTCACGTTTTGGCGGGAAGAAGGGCGGCTCGACGCTAAGGCCGTTGCGCCGTCTTGTCCCCCGGTCGGTGTACACAGCGGACACGCGGATATTCCGTGCCGTCTCGGGCATATTCTGCCGGCGTGCTAGAAAACGCCGTTTAAGCGACGAGCGCAGGGGCCTTTTGTTCTTCGGTCAGAAATCTCCATTTGTTTATCTCCTTTACTTTCCTGCCAAGAGCTCTAGCGCCACTGCGCTGCGTGGGTCGTCTTCTTCTTCTTCTTCCTCCAGAATTGTTTTTTTCCTCCTCCACTTATCTTCGATCGATCGCTGGGAGAAGGCGAGTAGCAGCGCAGCAGCGGTGGCAGTCGACCACATTTGATTCTCTGCCGCGCGCGCCCTCTAGAGCGAGATGGGCGCTCTGTTCTTCGAGGTGAGCAGGATTTCTTCGCTTGTCCGGTGACGATCAGCCAAGTGGGTCGCCGCGCCGGGCATCGCTCCGGGATTCTTGAGCGACCCATCTCGAGAATTCGTGGGCAGGGAATTCGTCTCTGTGGGTTTTAGCGGGGGTTTTTTTGGCGGCCCATGGGGAGATACATGAGGAAGAACAAGGTGACCATGGAGGTGTCCCAATCGCTGGGCGTGAGGACCCGCGCAAGAACGCTGGCGATGGCGCAGCAGCAAGCCGCGAGCAGGAAGAATTTGTCCCAGGAGCAGCAGCAGGTCAATGTGCTCAACTTCTGCTACCTGGAGCTGCGCAGCCGCAAGCTCGAGAAGCTGTTTGATGGCGGCGGCGGCGCGAGCAAGCATCACAGCTCCTCCGCCAGGCCTCCCAAGACGCAGCAGCGCCGCGTGAGGAGCTCCGACGCGATCGGAGTCGTCTCGGTTGGAGCGGCGCCGCTATCGCGCAGCAATTCCTTCACCTCCTCCAAGCAGCCTCCTCCCGCGCCTCCGTCAATCAAAAACGATGAGCTCGACGCTGTCAACCATGTCGACTCGAGAACTTCTGGACAAGTAAGCTCCATAGCTCTAGAGTTTCTTGGCGAGAACTTCCAGGTTCTAAAGCTTTGCTCCTCGCAGTTGGAAGTTTCGTGTGGAGACAATGCCTTTGACCACGACGGACTCTCGTCTAGAGACAGGTATGTTTCGATCGTTCTGCCATGGCCAGCTCTATCCTTCTCATGGGTTCGACAGCCATCCACCTCTTCTTCCAGTTTCAGTCCATCCTGTGATAGCTTAGCTTCTTCGATCATCTATCTTCCAGCGATGGTTTTAAGAACTTCTACTCATCGTCTTTCGTGCTTGCGTTCCAGTTTTGGACCCGACCATCATCGCCGGCTCCGCGAGAGCACTCCCGTATGCACAGACCAGGAGCTCCATCGACGCATAGCCGACGCTCCAGGATCATCTTCCAAAGTCCGGGTGACCAACAGGACGTCTTCCAATCCTCCCGAGGAATCGTCCCGGCCTTTCGACGCGCCCACGCCCGAGGAGATCGAGGAGTTCTTCGCGGCCGGAGAGCAAGAGCCCGACGAGGAAAAGAAGAGATTATCTGACAGGTCCGTGCGGTGCTCTATATCTTTCTCTTTGTCTCTCAGCCAGTGAGTTCGTCTAAAAGTTCGTTTTCTTTGCTCTTTTTCGTGTAGATACAACTATGACTTTGCCAACGATTGTCCACTCCCCGGTCGATTCGAGTGGACTTCCGCAAGTTCTTGAGCTCCGCCGGTGGTCACACGGGGACACAGCGACAGTTTCTCTTCTAGTCTTGGAGGCCGTAGCTCCACTCTTTCCTCTCTAACTCTCTCAGGGGGATTCTTTGTGTACAATGGCTCTCCTACTCTGCTGTACAGTCTCATCGCTCGGCTGCTAAAGACTACTCTACTACTCTACTTACACAAGGCCTTCACTAGAACAACACCCAAGTTTTTCTCTCCTTGATCATCCAGTTCCTGTCCACGCGATGGAAGAAACCTTGAGAGTTCGCGATGATCTTCGTCCGAAGGTTTCTCGATGTTTGAAGAACTGGACGACGATAACGACGACGACACAAGCTTCACAACAAGCTGCCGCGCTGCTCTTCTCGTTTTTGTATAGGAGCAGGGAAGAAGCCAAAGCCAGCAGCAAGGGCCGATCCATTCTGATACAACCCAAAACGAGTCAAATAGTCATAGTATCATCAAATCAGTCGAGGAAGACAAACAAAATCTCTCGCTCCAAAGCGCAAGCTCTTCCTTGTCGTGGAATAACTCTGGTTTCATACTAAGCAGCAGTCTACACTGCTCAAGGCAATCAAGCTCTGTTTTTGCTCTTTCGTCCACACGGTGATCATCAAGCAAGAGATCTCTGGATAAATACCCAGAGAGCTCTCTGGAGGTGGAAAATGACATTGGTGGCGACCATTTTCAAGTTGTGTTCTTCGTCTTTCTTTGCTAGGAGAGATCTGGCACTCTTTCCTTTCCTTGACTGCTGCCCTCGATTGCGATTTGGTCCGTGGTGGCAGCGCTGGTAATTGAATCTAGCAAGGCCGGGCCAAGAGTCCACATTCGCTCGTGTTTGGCTTTGCCTCTCTCTCGGAAACATCATTCTCTCTTTGGGTTCTTGGCTGGTTTGTTTGATTTCATTAAAACCCCGGTGATACGAATGCCGTACGTGGAGACAACCAAATGCCCTAGAAAAACGATTCACGCACGAAACAGTGCTTGTACGTAACAGGCTTCGGGTTAAACAATCCCCCTCTTTTTCTTCGGGTCGTGATTTTGCATGTCGGCCGCAACGTGGAGAAGCAGTGTCAGCCGGACACCAAATATCAAAACTTTAAGATCTGGGCGAGGTTTTCTCGTGTTCTCTACTGTTCTTTACAAGCTTGAAGCATTGAAAAGTGTGGATAATGTGGTCACCACACGGGCAGGACCTCCCTCTCCCTCTCTCTCTCTCTCTCTTTCTATTGCTCCACAAACACATGATTGAAAGCTATGATCTATCCAAAAGTCGATGTTTGTTGATCAAAGTGTGGAGACCTTGGGGCTTAGAATATAAATGAGAGTTGCCGGGTACCAGTACGTGTGGGTGACAAAAATATTCCAGGATCTAGGGCTTTTAAACTTGGCAGGGACGAAGAAACACCAAAACGAATATTATAATTGCAACCTTTAATTACCAAATTAAGTTGTGTGCACGCGTTTAAAAAACTATAAGTTTCCATAAATATTAAATGCGGGGGGTTTTTTCAAAAAACCGCGGGCAAACGCGCGGGAAAACAAAAAGACCGCGCCAAAACCACGGACGGAATATGCCCGCACTCATTCCGGCGGGTGTGTACGAAAGGCGCGCCATCCGCGCCCTCCGCTCCAACGGCCGCGATGCCGCCGTACGCATCGCCAGGGGAATCTCTGTTCCGTACCGTGCTCCGACCTTTTGTGGATGATTGGGGTGGCAGGATGGCTCCGATTTGATGGTTGTTTTGTGCATGGCCGGTTTCGATCTCACACGTAAAATGTGGGCAGGGTTTCAGTTTTTCCACCCAGTTTTTGTAGCAGAGACTCTTAAGCACTCAGCCTGCAGCTCGCAGAAGAATAGAAGAAAGTGGCTCTTCGGCTAAAAGATTCTACCTTTTCTGTATATATATTGCGAAGAAAATAGCTATATTGCAAAAGAAACGCAGCTTTCTCCTCAGGTAGCAGCAAACTGCACATATGTGGAGCCGAGAGCTGCATACGTGCCTGTAATAATACCACGGATGGGAACAACACTCTGGGGGTGTGAGGTGAAAAAGATGGCGGACTTTGATTGGAGTCCTCGTTTCGAACGTATGCATGCGAGTGATCTCGTGGCAGGGCTGGAAATTTTCGCCCCAAATCCATCTCTTGGGGAGCTTGCGTTGCCCACTGTGTGTTTGCATGTCCTAGAGTGCGTGGTGACAATGGACGAATTGAATGGGGGCGATTGAAACGTCGGGCGAGAGAGACAATCGCCCAGAGAGATGGAAAGATCCACGGATTTATAAGTGTACGGTAACCCTGGCTTGCTAGATTTAGCGGCGAGCCGCCGCTAAAAGTGGAGCAATCGCTGTCCTTAGATATCCCCTGTGAAGGCTTGGACAATGGTACATTGTGACTATGAGATTGCATGGAATATTTTGTAGCATGATTTGCCACCTTATCAAATGGAAGCCACTGATTCACGTGAACTTTGTTGTGGCAAGAGGATAGAATCAAACCAGGGGGGTATTTGTACACTCGCCTCGAGGCCAGTGTGCCTCGTACATGATATGAGTATTGTTATACAGTACATGGTCTAGTACGCTTTGTGGGCCTCTACCTAGTGTGTAGATGGGCCTGGAGGATGGACAAAAGGATACCAAATAATTTGTGCTCTCTTTTCAATGACCAGTTCTTTCACATCTCCAAAGGCTCCAAGACAAGCAGAAAGGGGGAGAGCAGAAAGTTCTACCCTAGAAGCCAAGAAATGGAAAGAAGAAGAAGAGACTTCTTCCATAGCTGGGAAGATTTGGCAGGCCCCAAGTCAGGATAAGAGGAAAAACTAACGTGTTGAGAGTGGGATTCGAACCCACGCCCTTTCGGACCAGAACCTTAATCTGGCGCCTTCGACCAACTCGGCCATCTCAACTTTGGACATCCGTATGCTTCCGTATGATCCTCCGTACGCATGAACGCTCCCGGCGTGGATGACTTTGCCCGCCTCGCTCGGTCGTGTGCAAGGAGCAAATCGCTTGAGGATGCACGGGAGCTGGATTGGAAGATCGCCCAGAGCGCGCACTCCGGCAACAGGTTCCTGGCGAATCTCGTCGTGGACATGTACGGCAAGTGTGGCAGCTTGCAAGACGCGAGGAATGCGTTTGCTCGGATCAAAGATCCAAACGTTTACTCGTGGAACATCGTAATCGCAGCACATACCCAGAACGGGCAGCTGGATCACGCCCGTTTGCTGTTCGATCAGATGCCTCACAAGGATATAGTCTCGTTCAACTGTATCATCGCTGCATATGCGAGAAAGGGCGACTTGCGGGAGGCGAGAAAGATCTTTGAGAAGATGACCGATCGAGACACCGTGACTTGGAACACGATGCTTGCTGCTCATGCCCAAGGGGGGCATTTGCATGAGGCGAAGCTTTTGTTCGATCTTATGCCTTCCAAGAATGTGGTGTCTTGGAACGCGATGATCGGAGCTTACGCCGCGGCGGGACTGCTTGCCGAGGCGCGGCTCGTCTTCGATCGGATGCCCACCCGCGATGTGGTTTCGGGGAACGCAATGATCGCCGCCTATGTCCACGGCAGCCAGATCCATGAAGCGCGACGGATCTTCGACTCCATGCCAGAGAGAAATGTGGTGGCCTGGACCGCGATCATGGCTGGCTATGCCAATGCTGGCTACCTCGATTTCGCGAGGATCATCTTTGACAAGATACCCAACAAGAACATCGTCTCTTGGAACGCGATCATCGCCGCGTACATCCAGCACCACCGCTTGCTCGAAGCTCTTGCGATGTTCGACGGTATGCCACAGCGGGATGTTGCGTCGTGGAACACGATGATCGCGGGGCTTGCGCAGGCCGGGCGGATCGATCATGCGCGCCGGCTTTTCGATTCCATGCCCAAGCGTGATCTTGTGTCATGGAACACGATGGTGAGTGGCTATGCGGCGTTGGGCTTCTTGGGCGAAGCTAGAGCGATCTTTGAAAAGATGGTAGACAAGGACGTTGTGTCGTGGAACACGTTAATTGCGGCATATTCCCACAATGGTAATGTACGTGAGGCAAAGATTCTCTTTGACAGAATGCCCGAGAGGGATAATCCGTCGTGGAATGCCATGCTTTCAGCATATGCCGGGTCTGGGCATCTGGAAGATGCTAAGCGTTTGTTTGACAAGATGCCGGACAAGAATGTGGTATCTTACACGTCCATGGTAGCGGCTTACGGGAGCAATGGCTGCTTGAACGAAGCAAAGGAGATGTTTGATTCGATGGTGGAGAGAAACGTTGTGTCGTGGAATGCGATGATCGCGGCATTTAATCAAAATGGTGGTGCTCGAGAGGGGATCGCGCTGTTCAAGGTGATGGATCTCGAGGGGGTGGAGATGGACAAGATCTCCATAGTTTGTGCTCTTGAGGCTTGCGCCTTGGCCGTGTCGCTCGTCGATGGTGCTCGCGTCCACTCCAGCATTCTCGGAGGCAAGCTCGCCAGGGACTACGTCGTGCAGACCGCGCTCGTGAACATGTACGGCAAGTGTGGCAACCTGGTCGAAGCTCGAAGGATCTTCGACTCGATGAGCTTCAACTTCCAGGACTCGGTGCCTTGGAACTCCCTCATTGTGGCCTACAGCCAAAACGGCGAGGGCGACAAGGCTCTGGATCTGTTTGGAACGATGGTGCTGGATGGGATGATCCCGGACGAGATCACCTTCATGGGAGTCCTCAGCGTTTGCAGCCACGCGGGGCTTCTCGAGGAGGGTCTGCAATACTTCCGGACTCTGGGCGATCACGGGATCGTCCCGACTGTGGATCACTACAAGTGCGTGGTTGATCTGCTGGGACGCGCTGCGAAGCTGGAGGAAGCGTCGGGTCTCGTGGAAGCAATGCCGTATGAGCCCGACGAAGTTGCATGGATGACTCTCCTCAGCGCTTGCAAAGTTTACGACGATGACAAGATTGGGATGCGAGCGGCGGAGGGGCTCGTGGAGATTGATCCAGAGACGGCGGCACCGTATGTGTTGCTGTCCAACATATACGTAGAAAGGAACAAAGGCCCGGTAGTCGGAGCAAAGAAAGGATGAGATATTTGGGAAATCGTGAAGGATGCTGCGAGGAAGATACACTGGTAGTATACGCGACAAAGACCACTCCCATATGGATCCATTGTTCGAGAAATTTTGTTTGATGCTATCTTCTCGGAGCTCTCTCACAAAACGTCTTCTTCGCATCGATCGGCTTCTCCAGTTTTGAGACCGCGAAGCTCTCGAGAAGCATCACCAGGGATCAGGGATCATTCAAACGAAAGTGGGAATTGTCATCAAATCCTTGGAAAAGTTCACAGAAGTCTCTGTGACTTCACAGATGGAACAAAAACAAAGTCTCCTTGAGTTCACGCACCGTTTTCATTGCACTCCAGACATTCTCGCCCAGTCCACGAACTGCATGCCTCCGTAGACGTTGTTCGCGAATCTTACGCCCACGGTGAACGCCATCGCCACCAGCGGGACTCTCTTGGCCACCGGGCTAGCCTCCACTACACGCTCCAAACCATTGATGACTTGGTACCTCGTGTTGGAAGAAACACCCATGAACACGGCCCAGAGGAGAGCCGACTTGACGAGGGGTGGAACAGGGACGTCGGCGTGGCCCGGTTTTCCCATTTTCCTGTAAGACATCGGGGCTAAGCTCATACCGTCGAGAGAAAAAAGCATGTAAAGGTACCTCTTGAGAACCATGATCGAATTTGCAACCCCTTGACCAACCAATCCACAAACAAACCCCACAACTCCATATTGAAGAGCCTGTGTAAAGGAGAGAGCGTCAGGCAATACAATCCGTTTGAAGTTTCTTTCCACCTTGAAGAAAAATGCGCCTAGTCGTTGTTGTACACTAAACTTCCGTCCTGGTCTCTCGGCTTCAAAAATGCTGGCAAAGAAAAAGCATGGCTTAAATATGTGCAAGTTTAAGGCGGACAGTACCTGCTTGGCAGAGCTTTGATCGTTCTGGACAAGCGTCCAGCCGACGCAGGAGCGGCTCCAAATTGGACAAACGGAGCCAGCATCGTCACAAGCGCAACGTCCATGACGATGCCCACCAGCAAATCCGACATGTAGAGCTCAAACTCGTTCCAAAAGTCCTTGCCACGCTTGTTGACCTCTGCAAACGTTGCACAGCCGGAATCAATAGCCACCTGTAGTACACAATATAAAAACAACCTTGAAACCAAAGCGAGAAGAAAATCATGCATGTACCTCGGTGAGAACTTTGAAAAGAAAGCTTGGATCCGCAAGCATCCGGTTGCGTAGAATCGGACTACTTCTCACCGCTGGACCAAGAGGCCAAGGAGCAGCCTGATCGAAAGAGTCAAGTAGAGCAAGCAAAGAAGAAAATGATCACCTGAAAATCCAAGTAGCGTGTGAGGATGAGCTCTCGAAGCCCACTAGTTTTCGCAGCCTCGGCCAGATCCGCGGGAAGAACAGCCCCTCTCGCTTTAACCTGCCTTTCAACCTCCTCGGCGCTCAACAGGGATCCAAATTCCTTTTCTGCCCGATCGGATCCACCGTCGTCGCCATCACCATCGCCACTTCCATCGTCCCCTCCTCCCCCTCCTCCCCCCTTCCCTCCTCCACTGCCATCGCCAAAATCCTCTTCTCGATGCTGATGATCCTGGGCGATATTCAGCACATCCACGCCGGATCCGGGCGCCGAGCAGCGTATTGGAAAGATTTGTCGCTTCTTGGCGAGAAAAAAGCCCCACCTGACACGGTCGATCTTGATTCTGGCGGCTCCCACGGCCACGATGCTCCGGAAACGCGCAGCATTTGCATGATCGGCGATGGAGGCGGCAGTGGTGGCGCTAGAGCAGCGCTCTACCGCCAGCATTCTCACCTCTTTCCCCTTAAACCCTAAACCCGTCCTGGAAGGACCAAACTTCATGGATTATTTTAGTGAGCCTTTCGTTTCCTAACAGGATTCGAACCCGAGTATAAACTTATACAGAATTTAGTAAAATGAATTAGTTTTAATCTTTAATAATTTATTAGAATACTTCTAAATTAATTGCATTGCCTTTAAACCCAAAAAGTCTAATTCATTTTTTGGATTTTTTAAATATTATAGCTTTGTGAGGTTCACATGTACAATTACAATGCCATATACTAATATTAGTATAGTGGGATTTTAGTAGCCATTGATTGGTCTCAATCTAGATTATTCACTCTTATATATAAATTAAATTTTTTGGCTAATTAATATGTGTATTTTTGTATTTTATTTTTATTCCATGTAGTCATATTGGTGGAGATGAAGGGCAATTTTAATTGTCCTTGAGGAGTGCTTGGATTTGGGATCCTATTTTAGATTTAACTTTTGCATTGTCTAAATTTCCCTTTTTTATTTATATAGTTTTTCTAAACTTCTTTTCTTTTGCTTTTTTCTTTTTGTTAATTTTCATGGCAGAGCAACAACCTCTTCCTCTTTTGACTTTGGAGCAACAATTAATACAATTACTCAATGCTATATGGTTGCAGTTGAACAATTAGATTCTATTGATAACAACATTTAGGATATATATTATAGTTCCTATTGCTTTGCTATAAATCTTTGAGTTCGGCTAGAGTTATTCCACAGGAATTTTAGAGATGATGTGTACCATTGATTTGATCATTTCACAGTGATTGCCACATATAATTCTTGGGATGATGCTTGGTGTTTGCGTGAATTTCTCACGTGTCTCCAAAAGACAACATTGCAATAGTTTAAGCATAGCCACTCATAAGGATTGGAGTATTCTTTCATACGTTTTCAAACTTGCACATGTTAACAATTGTGATGATGCTTTCTAATAATTGCATTGTATTTGTCAAGGGCCATTTGAGTCCATAATGCAATTTAGCGTTCAATTCCAAAGCCTTTTACTTCATGTGAAGCCAAATATGTTGAAATGGATCAAGTTAAGAATGTTGTGGTCAGCACTTCATCAAGATTTTGTAAAACTTATGTATACATTTGCTCCAGCTACCTTTGATAATGTTTTTCACTTGGCACAACATTATAAAATGTCACTTCTTCCACTTCATATCCTTTAGCTCCACTTCCTATAAGAGATGGTTCTATCCAATGAAGGTTGATGTTGCTACTACCTGGGTTCAAGGACAAGGGCAAGGACATGGTCGTGGCCATGATGTCCACTATTAGGCGTATGATGAAATTGGTTATACTTATTGGCACTATTGGCATTTTTCAGATTTGTGATTTTTATTTCCTGGGTGGAGACTTTGGCTTCAACAACGTTTTATTGGTGTTGTTGTAGTAGAAGGTCTGGACACCAAGATGCTTTCTGGAAACAAGGAGTCGTGCGATTAACAAAGGGTACTTGCATGAATAAGTCGGTGACCCCTCCATATTTTTTTTGAGAGTATCATTAAAGTCACTTGGCACCAATTCATCTAACATTTACTTTCCATGCTTGTTTTTATAACAAGAGATTTCCTATTATTCTCTTCATTATAAGCAACTAAGGGAACAATTCAAAAGACAATTGATAAGGGTTCAAATATAGAGGGAAAGGGCCTATGAATAAGAGTGCACACCCTTTTTTAATCGGTTAAGGGTCTTGGGATACTTGGGGTTAAGCGTTTTTGGGTTTGAATAGTACTGGGTTGGATGACCTCCCGGGAAGTCCAAAGTCAAGAGTTAACATTTGGTATCAAAGGGGTCTCAGGTTCAACTCTGTTGGTTGGTTAGGGGAATCACACTATATATTGATTGACATTTGGCAAGTCCAATTTGCTCCGGTTAAGCTCGAATTGAGGGGTAGGGTGTCAAGAGAGCGGGGCTCTCGGGAGAGCTACAGCTTTTAGCTTCCGTTCACAAAGGCGTAAAACTTGTTGCAGCTCTCATCAGCATCCTTGGGTTTGAATAATATTGGGTTGGGTGACCCCTAGGAAGTCCAAATTCAAGAGCTTACATTTATGTTAGTTGATATAAACTCGAGTTTATCTTTTATTGCTCAATTTGTTACTATATGTTATTATTTACATTTATATCGTGTGGTAAAGCCATTTTTCATTTTGTATAGCAACGGTTGTGCACACACATATAGACAGGATGAGGTGAACCTAGTTATGTGTGTGGGCAATGTCAAGCTTAACTTGCAATCATTGCCTGATGAGCTTGTTGTTTTAGCATCTGTGGATTTTCAGACAAGGATTCTGTGCCATCGACAGTTGCTATACTTAATGTTCAGTATCCATAAGATGTAGAGCAAGATTTACTTTTTCTTGACAAAGTGTGGATTCAAAAGCTTTGCCATGGGTTTGAAAATCCTAAATCACTTACTGATGATTTGCCATTTCAATGGCACTACAATTCCCATTATCGTCCACTGTCAGGAAAAATACATGACAACAAAAAAAGATAGGAAAGACTCAGGGCTTGTATTTTAGCAGTAACTACAAATCACTCATACTGAGTGTGTTGGGCCTACAGTAACTCCTCTATGATCACGGTGATGGGATCTTGACAGCCTACGGGAGGTCCCACCATCTTTGAGCAGAAAGAACTCAAGAACCAAAGAGAGAAAACAAAAACTGTAAAATTACTAAATGGCCGTACTTAATTTTCAAACTACCAAAAATTTAAACACCACCAACAGTTGAGATTCTTCCAGCTAATAACTCTTCATCCACAACTTTGATTGACTTGATTTCACCACCAAAGAATTTCCCTTGACAAGATCTTCAACTTTATAGAATACAACTTCTTCAAATTCTCACTTCTGAAATCCATCACTTTTTCTCTCTCTAGTCAGAATATTCCCAAGAAACTTCTTCAGTGAGCTTCTTCATTTTTCACCTTTTTCTAGCTCAAAAATACATCAATACTCACAAAAACAACCTCAAGTGTGAAAATACGACCATATATATAGTTGATACTCGCGCCGCCCTCGGCACGCTGACTGCCATTAACCACTGACTTCTTGACTAGCTTGAACCCAACTCTGCTACACTTTCCTCGGACACCACTCCATTTGACTTCTCACATGGCGACACTTCGCCTCTTTCAACTCTCTTCTCCTACACTATTGCTGAGCTCGCCTCCACCGACATCTATAGCCTCCAAAAATAAATCCTCCTGGCGCTCCACACCTGAACTCATAAAATCTCCCCCTTCAGCTCCTCCTCTCAAGGATGTGCAGCCAACTCTACCTGCATCTTCTACACTTGTTCTTAAATGAAAACACCAACATACCTCCATTCGATTCTGGAACTTCCCATTCAGCTTACAGCCACAGCTCTCAGCTGGCCTCAGCTTTAGTCATCCTCGACTCTGATTTGGATGGCTCCAACACATTGGACTCTCGCTCAGCTCTGGCTGTTTCAACATTTGAACGTGGATAGTACTTCTTCAATCAAAAACCATTGATCCACATTGGCAACAGGTTCCCACTCAAATCTGCCATCTGCACCGAGCCATTGTCGTTGACATTCACCACCACGTAAGGGCCCAGCCACCGTATCTTGAGTTTTCCTGGCCACTTCCAAAACTTGCTGTCATACAACAGCACCAAATCCCCTATTGCAAACTTTCGCTCTCGAATATGATCATCATGCCATTTCTTCCTCCGCTTCTGCAGTGCCTCTCTAGCTTGAAATGCCAGCAGCCTCATCTCATCCAATCGTTCTAGCTCGTTCAACCTCTGCTGTATGGCACCGTCCCAGTCCATAGCATGCTCCACACCCATCCTCAAGGCTGGAACTTCAAGCTCCACCGGCAATAGTGCTACCTGCCCATAAACCAACTGAAAAGGTGAGAACTGAGTGGTCACCTAAAAAGCAACCTGATACGCCCAGACTGCATCCAACAGGCGCTTATCCCAATCCATCCGAGAAGCTGAGCAGGTTTTAGTAACAATCTGGCAAAGAGTTCCATTTGTACACTCCACTTGACCATTGCAATGCGGGTAGTAAGGAGTAGACTTCGAGTGATAAACTCCATAAGTTTCTGTCAATGCTGCCACTGCCTCGTTCAAGAAGTGTGTACCCCGATCACTCACCAGTTCAAGGGGAACTCCAAACCGTGTAATTATCTGCTCATAAAAAAACTCCGCCACCTTCTTACCAGTATCCTCCCATAGAACCTTCACCTCAGACCATTTTGTAACGTAATCAGTGCAGACTAGTACATACTTATAACCTGTCCGTCGAGCTGGAGGAAACGGTCCGCAAAAATCAATTCCCCATTTTTCAAACGGCATCACCGGCAACAGTGGATGAAGAGGCTGGTAGTCAGCTTATCAGGCTTCCCTGCTTGCTGATAGGGGTCACAGGTTTTGACGTAGTACATAACCTCCTTCCTCAATGTTGGCCACCAATATCCAGCTCTACAAATAATCTCCACTGGCACTTCTGTTCCAAAGTGGCCTCCATATGCCGAGTCATGGCATGCCACTATCACCTTAGTCGTCTCATGTGGTAGCAAACACCGCCTCAATACGTTATCTCGTCCAATCCAGTACAATACACCACCAACCATTGTGTAGAGTCGGCTCTGCAACAAAAGCTGTCGCTGCTGCTGGTTATTCAACCCTGCCGGATACTCGCCATTGCCAAGAAACTTAACCATCTTGGCATACCAGTCCGACACCGTTTCAAATTGGAAGATAGGTGCGTCTAGCAAATCATCCTCTACGCCTACCTCCTCATCACTGTCCTGTGGTGGCAGCCTCGATAAGTGATCCGGCATCTGATGGCTGCTTCCAGGTTTCAACACAATCTGGAACTGAAATTCCTAGAGCAGCAACAGCCAACGTGTGATTCTTCCCATCTTGCATGGCTTCCCTATTAAATACTTCAGTGCCTGATGATCGAGGAAAAACACGAACTCCTTGCCGAGTAGATAATGCCAGTATTGCTAGATCGCATAGATCATGCCGAGTCCTTCCCTCTCAGTTTCTGAATAGCTCTTCTCAGCCGTCGAAAGTTGACGGCTGCTATAACATATTGGATGATCTGCTCGTCCATCTGAGCGTTGACATAGCACCACACCAATTGCCACAACTGATGCATCCACATGAACGTGGAAATCCAGTTCCAATTTGGCATCTTCAGAATCGGCGTGTTCGCCAGTGCCAGTTTCAAGCGTTGGAAGGCTGCCTCACATGCAACTGTCCACTCATATTTAGCCCCCTTCTTCAACAGACTAGTCAAAGGTAGAGCTTTCTCAGCGAAGTTCCTCATGAAACAGCGGTGATATCCCAAATGCCTAGGAAATGCCTGCAGTTGCTTCACAGTCTCTGGTGACACTAGCTACATGATCACCTATGTCTTGGCTGGATTGACAGCTAAACCTTCTCTTGACACTATCCAACCCAACAACACTCCATGCGTTACCAAGAACTGACACTTGAACGGGTTGAGAGAAATCCCAAATGCTATTTATGGAAAGTGTCTAGATTGCAAATTTGGACACGGGACGAACACCATTGTGTTCAGGCCGATCTCTACATTCCGTAGATATGCCAAATGAGCAAATCTAGACACTTTCCATAAATAGCATTTGGGACCGAAATGAGACTAACACAAAGGGCATGATAGCAAGGGTGTTTGGCAGACACGGTAAGCTATCATTTAGCGATATTGAAGGACTAGTCTCAATACGCGAGGGTTTTTGCCAAGCTAGTGCAAGACAGAGCAAAAGAGAACTAAAAAGCTGTGCCAAGTATGCTTGGCCAAATAGACACTTAGGAATTCCGTCCTTATGCTCATCCGGCCAAGTACAGATGTTAAGTCCAATTTACTAACACTTGGACAAGAGGGGCCAATAAAGGGAACCAGTAGTACCGACCTCCTGCCGTCATGGCAGTAAGGAAAGAGTGCCTGTAAGGACTGGTCGACAAGTATCTTTTGATACCCGAAGTCATATTCGCGACACTTAGTGCTGGCAGCGCTCAAAACACTTCTCGAGTAGGCCTTCATGCGCCAACTCGCTCCCATAGACACTGAAGTTGTCAAGGAATACTTCCATAAACTCTTGCATGTACGGCTGGAAAGCTGCTGTGACGACCCGCTGAAAGGTAGCAAGTGCATTACACAGGCCGAAAGGCATAACTTTGTAGGCGTAGCAGCCCCACTCAGTCACAAACGTGGTTTTGAGCTGATCCTCTTCTGCTATCTGCACTTGGTTATAGCCGCTGAATCCGTCAAGGAAGGAATAAAGCTCGTGTCCCACCACAGCATCAAGTACCATGTCAGTGAAGGGCAGAGGGAAGCCGTCCTTCTCAGTCACCTCGTTCAGCTTCCAGTAATCCACACAAACTCACAGCTGACCATTCTTTTTCGGCACCACCACAATCGGAGACAGCCATTGGCTTGTTTCCACCTCGTAAATAAACCCAGCTTGCAGCAACTTCTCCAGCTCCTCTCGAACAGTCTTGGAGTAATTCGGGTTCATCCTATACGGCCACTGCTGAATAGGCACTGCTCCTGGCTTGAGAATGATCCGGTGCTGAGCCAGCTTCACATCCACACCTCGCATGTCTCTATAAGACCATGCAAACACGTCGAGGTACCTGTAAAAAAGGCGCCTCAACCTCTCCTTAACTTGGACAGGCAAGTTAGCTCCGACCTTCACCACCTTTTCCTCCTCGGCTGATCTGAGGTTCATCTCTTCGACAATCGGCTAAGCTGTGTATCGGCTACTACCTCGTCCTCCAGGCTGGATCGCTGGCTCTTCATCAATCTTCAGAACGGAACCATCTATAACTTCGGAATAAAAATGGTGGGGAAACTGCTGCAGTTGTTCCTGCTCCACTACTGGCTCCAAGGCCTCAACCTGAACCATTCCACAGCTCACATCACCACCAAACAACCAATGCTTGAGTCGATCGCTCACTGTTCCATCTTCAAAAGGTGACAGCAGCAGGGCATTGTAGCCAGAGTAGGGCTCCACAGCTGCAGCCTCCATTGAACTCTCATCATTCGACTGACTTTGCTCCGAACACACCTCACTCATACGCTCTCCTTTTTCTGACCCAGTCGTGGTATCACTGCTGTCATCGATCCCATCCACTATCAGCTCACACGCCACTGGAGTCCAGGCTGGCCTCCTCCTCGTCTGAACTTGGATAGTGCGCAACTCGTTTCCATCTCCAATCGTAATAGTCCTCTTCAGCCAACTCTGATCTACCCAGGCCTGTAACAGCCACGGTCTTCCCAAAAGAATTGGATAATCCAGCTCGTGTCCAACCATCCTCAGCACCACGTAATCAACATAAAAGATAAAACTGGCAATCTCCGTCTTCACTCCAGTAAGTACACCAACCAGTCTCGAGTGAGAATGGTTTGCCATGCGGACACGAAAATGAACTGGAGACAGCTGCTCCAAACCAAGTTTCGACACCATCTACTCAGGCATTACGTTGATGGCAGCACCTCCGTCAATCACGCACCCCTTCAAGTGCTGACCTGAAATCTCTGCATCTATAATCAGATTCTCTGCTTCAATCATCGGCCATGCTGCGTTCACTACCACCTCTCGATGGGCCTTGACTGCTGTGGCCACCACTTTCCTTAGACTTGGTGCCAGCTGCAGTAATTGTGTGAATGTGATACTCGGCTTCTGATTCTCCAAGTCCTTGAGCACGTCGTAGGGCTGAGTTTCTAGATTCAGCACTTGCTTATACCGGCGAGATCTCTGCTGGCCCATCTTCAATGGCTCGCCCCCACAATGTTCCTTGAATACCTTTGCCAGCCGCTGCAGCATCAAGATGCCCACCTTCCTCATAACCTCTTGCGGATCCATTCCACCACTCATCTGGTTCGTGTCCATTTCCTTGCCGTCATTAGGGCACTGAATAGTCCCCGTGATATTCTTTGTGAGATCTCCGCCATCAGCTATCAGCACATCCTGAATGCCGCCTCCTTCCATGCCCACCTTTTCCTTGTGGCACTGCTCCTTCCTGTTTCGGCGAGCTATCATCTCTAGATCCCCCCAAGTATGCATCCGCTCATATCCCTGTTCATCCCTTGTTCCCGGCTCATCTCGGATGTACAACCCGCGGTCCCTCTGCTGCAACTATGCTTGTGTGTTGACATTCCACACAGGTGTGTCCGCTTGTAACTCTTCAGAATTCACGAAAATGGCTTTAGTGTCCACCACCTCTTTTCCCTTGTCCTGATTCTGACGCTGATTCGGCACTTGCAAGCGGTAGGGGCAATCCTCCTGCCGATGAAGCCCCTGTGTTTGGCATATCCCATAGATTGGCTGATACTCTTCAGACTTCTATGCATTCAGACAGTTTGGCGCGATATGTCCAGGTTCCCCACCCCCAGTAGCACACTATTGGACCTCGGCCTTGGCCTCCGCCTCTGCCTCCGAACATTCCCATCCGGCCGCCACCTCGGCCTCCACTGACAGTCTGCTGCAGCATTGGCCCCGAGTTCTGTACGGCCCCTGAAGCTCCTACGTTAAAAACCAGGTACATCTTATACTGCTGTGGAAATTGTTGTTGAACCTGCTGCTGTGGAAATTGTTGTTGATGGTGAAATTGTGGTTGAACATAATAGCTTGCGACTACAGGTTGCTGCTGGAACTTGGGCGTCACACGAGTTGGATGAAAAAAGCACTTCTTAGGCTTGTGGCCGAACTTCCCACAATACGAACAAGGAGCTTTTGCCAGAACCAGATTCGGACACTCACTAGGATAGTGGCCATATCCTTGACACTTAATGCACCAGATCTCAGCTCTCTCATGCACTGGCCGAGTTGGAGCTCCCAAACCCTGAACCAGACTCACTTGGAGTTCCGCCATCTTCTTGGTAAGTGTCTCCACCACATCTTCTTTCACTTTCGTGAGTTGGCTCTCAAATCCAGTCGTGTTTACTGCAAGTAACTGGAGAACTGATGGTTGGACTGGAATCAAAGGTGGAGCTGCTACTGCTCCAAGCACACCAATCTGGTACTATGCAATATTCGGTGAGAACAAGTTACCATATGTTGCTGCTGGAGCTGCAGCTGCAACATTCCGTGACGCCATCCAGGCCTGTTCCCATGTTGCTGCATGCTCCATTGCTGCGTTCAAATCTGCCGGTCTCTGCACCTTCACATGGAACCCAATCTCAAATGGCAACCCATTCAAGAACCAGCAGACTTGGTCATCAGCAGTAGGCTGTGGATCTTTCCTTGCGAGCAGCCTCTTGTAGCGAAGAACGTAATTTTGCAATGTCTCTCCAGGTAACAATTGAATTGAATTTAGCTCGTCACTGATACGCTGCTTGAATCCCATAGGATGGAAAGCATTGAGAAATGCCGTTTTGATGTCTGCCCAGGCTGCAAAAGCTGTTGCTGCATTCACCTGACCATACCACTCTGTTGTTGCTCCCAGCAACATTGCTGGAAACAAACAGACTCTCACAACATCTCCTTGCTCCTGATTTGCTGTGCTGATATTTTCGAAAGTAGTTACGTGAGCATCTGGATCGTCAGTCTGTGTAAACGTTAGATACTTCATCCTTGCGTTGGCAGGCTGTGCCATTTGAGGATTTACTGCTTGAGGTGTGGGCAAGGCTGGTTCAAATGGCCCCCACTCCTCCCAATTCAAACTTGAGTCCAAAGTCCTCGGACTAGTTTCAGGACTAGTTTCAAGCGAGTTCTGTAACAGTCTCCTCACTGCTCATTCAGAACAGCCTCGATTCTGCTCTACCCTCCTAGTAGAAAAATATAGAAAATTATCCCAGTTCGAGGATTTATCTGCCAGACCGAGAACCAACTGCGGCAAGGATGCTTACTACAGATGCCCGCAGATGACTGGCCTTTTCCTCAGGCCCAGTTTACTACACAGTTACTGCGACTAAGCCCTCTCAGCTAACGCACCAAAACATGTCAGGAAAAATACATGACAACAAAGAAAGACAGGAAAGACTCAAGGCTTGTATTTTAGCAGTAACTACAAATCACTCATACTAAGTGTGTTGGGCTTGCAGTAACTCCTCTATGATCATGGTGATGGGATCTTGACGGCCTATGAGAGGTCCCACCATCTTCGAGCAGAAAGAACTCAAGAACCAAAGAGAGAAAACAAGAATTGTAAAATAATTGAATGGCGGTACCTAATTTTCAAACTACCAAAAATTTAAACACCACCAACGTCTGAGATTTTTCCAGCTAATCCACAACTTTGATCGACTTGATTTCACCACCAAAGAACTTCCCTTGATAAGATTTTCAACTTCATAAAAAACAACTTCTTCAAATTCTCACTTCTGAAATCCATCATTTTTTCTCTCTCTAGTCAGAATATTCCCAAGAAACTTCTTCAGCGAGCTTCTTCATTTTTCACCTTTTTCTAGCTCAAAAATACATCAGTACTTACAAAAATAACCTCAAGTGTGAAAATACAACCATATATATAGTTAACATCCACCTATAGAGTATAAAGTGGATGACTTAGTGTTAGTTTGTTTTCTCAATCTTATGATACATAGTTTATCTAAGAGGATCTTTGCTCAATGGAAAAGATTGTATTGGGTGTTGTGGCAAGTGGGATTGCAAGTTTATGAGGTTTAGCATGACATCTAACAAATTGATCCTTTACAAATTGTACATGTGTAACAATTAAAACACTTCATACAAAGAAATAATAAATAACTAGCACTACTTATAAATTCACTAATACCTTTTCTTGATATTCCTTTAGATCCCAACCTATCAACAAGAGAACTTTAACAATCTTCCATTATTCCAAAAGGATGGGATGATATGAAGTCCAAGTGTATGGCTACAATACCATATCCTAATATTAACATAGTGGGATTTTGATAATTGTTATATTGGTTTAAATCTAGACTACTTGCTCTTGTATATAAATTAAGGTTTTTAGGCTAATTAATATATAAATTTTTGTATTTCATTTCTATATTCCATGTACTCATAGTTTTAATTTATTTCAGATTGATATTAAGAAATAAAAATAAAAATTTCAATAGAATAAATATTTTTCCAGATTTATAGTGTAAGCTAAGAAATTCTTGAGTTGTTAATTCTACATGAATCACTAGTTAAAAGATGAAATCTTTAGTAAGTTTATTATTATGCAGTGATAGATAAAAGTAGAAAAAATAAACTTTTGTAATATAAAAATAATGCATTATAATAAAAATTTATTTAAAGGTGCTATTTCAACTATGAAGCATTAAAAAATTTATTATTGATGGTTTTGGTAATAAAGATGATGAAAAAATTATAAATAGCTTTACATAAATCTCATTTTGAATAATAGAAAAGTAGCATAGTTTACATATATATATATATATATATATATATATATATATATATATATATATATACACACCATTGCATGACAATTTTTGAAATATATAAATATTTGTTTTTTTTAATAACTTAAAAATTAGTGGTATTTTTACCCAAAAATTAAATAAAATACAAAGAGTAATGCATTTTTTATTTAATATAACACAAAAATAGTTTATTAATTACTCATTCATATTTAGCATAATATGAATATTGGTTTTCTACTACTACTAACAATAAGAAATAAACTATACAGTTATTATTGATGCGATTGATACATGGTTTTGTGTCAAGCATAACCTTGATATTTATTTCTTTCACTTTTAATAATTTATTGCATTACTAAAACTATTATATTCTTTTTATCTTTTCCCTAGAGTATTCTATTTTAGTGTTTTTCTGAAAAAAATCATGGCATTTTCTCCTTTTTCCAAATGATGAAAATACTTAAAATTTTAATAATTAAATAAATAAATTTACTGCAATTAAGAAATTAAATTCCTGAAAAAATTAATAAAAAAGCTTGAACATTGAGATCACAACTAAATTAAACTTTGAGGAATTAGAATGTTAAGAGAATGCTTACTAGAAACAAAAGTTTTCAACAAAATCTTAAAATTATTCTCAAAAACTCGATAAGAGTTGTTTTGCAAACAATAACAAAGCAGGAAAGAGAAGCACAAATAAAAACTTGCTTCATTCTTTCTAAACCTATTAACAGAAAATATCTCAAAAACAATTGGAATTGACCAACAATTAGTTCCTATAGTTCTTCCAACTTGAATGTTGAGATCTATGCTACAACTGAATCAAACTTGAGAAATCAGAACGTTAAGAGAATGCTTCCAGAAACACAAGTGCAAGCTGTGACTGGATGATTCGTCTGAGCAAGTGTCAAAGCTCTACAAAACTTTAATAAGGTGGAAAGTATCCACAAGCACTTTAATTGCGAGCGATCAGAGGACACCACAGTTTAGTGATAATACAAACGCTTTAATGCTTTTTCCGATTCTTAACGGAGTGTTGCGACAGGCGCTTCATGGCACCTAAAGAAATCTGTGTGTCTCTGGATAGAGAAAAATAAAAAGAAATAACACGAAACTTTTCCTTTCAAGAATCAGCACTGAGAGTGCGTACCTTCTGTAGATGTAAAGCCCAGTGTAGAATAACAGCACAATCAAGACAGTGAAGAAGCAAGCTGCGTAGTAAACAGGTTGATTTCCCCTGTGCTGAAGAACCGAAAAAACCCAACTTTTAGACAAGGAGATATCAAAACTTTTGTGGCTTACTCCACTTCCTCGAGGAAAGTAGCTCCTCTTCCCTGGCTTGCAGCTGTGAGCGTCGCAAAATTGTCGTAGGAAAAAATCTGGGAACAAGCTTGCGGATGAGGAATGAATTTATGAAAGAAGCGTTAGATGGACAGACCATTGAGGCGCGTTGCCTGTGCACCTTGTTGCGGAGGAAAGCACGAGTTTGCTAGTTTCTACTACAGACGGGAGAAGAGGAGTGAGCAACAAAAGAAGTTCTTAGTCAGACCTCGCACAAGTGACGATTACGATCGACACTGGGGCTGCATTTGTTTTTGGAGAACTTGTGCTTGTCCTTGGTCTCCATGTAGTCGCAGTGCAAAGCGCCACAAAGATCAGCTAGACAATTGTGGCGGCTCTAGAAACAAGCGTAGAAAAACTGGTGTTTTCTTTCTAACAAGAGGAAGAATAGACGTACCACATTGAGCGTTTCGGAATGCCGGTTGTCGAAATGTAAGTCGAGGTACTCCTCGCTCTCGAAAATCTTGTGGCAGTATCCACAACGCCAGTCGTGTATGTGGTAGAACTGCTTCTCACGCTCTTGCTCTCTGAAAGCGTCGTTGCTAGCATGCAAGCGACACTCTGGAGACAAGGCGTAGTTTTCATTCTCCACGAAAGGCAAAAGATACTGTAACACAAAAGAGCCAAAGGAAGAAACCAAGTAGTGGATCAAAGAAATTAAGCTGGAAAGAAGAACCTCTTCCAAAATGTGTCTCGCCGTCCGGCTTCTAGCCCTGGAACACTGCACTCCATGATCCCCAGCAGCAGCAGCAGCTCTACAGCACGAAATCAATCATTTTCCCCACAGTTCCAAGCGACCGATGCACGATGCAATGTGCTACTCACAGATTATGCGATCCAAGAAGAAGAGGAAGAAGAAGAAGAAGCAGCGCCGCAGAATCGATCGGGCCCAGCATCTGGCGCCCCTCCCAGCTAGCTCTAGGGCTCCTCGCTTAAACAGAGACAGAATATCCACAAGAACCCTGTTTTTAGGGTTCCTCGTGGAATGCCCACCCTCAGCAATATGGTACCTGTGCTGCTTTGGAGCCAATCTGCCACGATCAGACCCACGCACGGATCGCATCCCACCATCATTCCCTAGCCCCAGCAGCAATCTCGCGAGTCCCTGTAAGTTCTTCCAGGCTTGGGTTCTTCCAGGCTATCTTCGTTCTTTCCTCTTTGTTTGAGAACTTATCCCTCGTTTCTTTCTTTCTTTTCTTTTAGGAGAATGTATTCTCAGAGTGTGGGAGTATGGATCAGCGTTACTCGTAAATGTCCCATTTGTCGACAACCAATCACTCGCTTGTGGCCTAGCGAATTTTCTAGGACTGAATAAGCTACGAATTTCATGCCACTGCTAACTGACATGGCACAATCTTAACTTCGATAGCCGCGAGGAGCCAACTTTCTCTCCCTTTTGGATGAGCTCCACGGACGAGACAATCTCGACAGTTCCATTTTACGCAGTTTTTCGTTTCTGTAATGTGGATTTAATTTGTACAGTTAATACAAACCTTGGATTAAAGTTCCATCTGTTACATCTCTTTGATTAACTTTGAAGTGACGGCCAGAGTTCCTAGAAGTCCCATGGTAACAACAATGGTACCACCAAATTTCCTACTAATCTCGTCCACATTCACGAAAGAATTGAGCATGGCATATCCAGTCGAGTAGAGCTCGCGTCCAGCGAGCTTGTAGAGAGCACGAATTGGGGAGAGGAGTAATTGGTAAGAACTTGGAAGATACTGGCTTACACCGAGAGCGTCGAACAACGAATCTAGAAACCATTCGCTGTGAACGGAGGCCACTATGTCATTGACAAGAATGTGACCGGAGAGTGTCAAGGGATTATATAATCCCAGCTTTTCGACCTCGGAAAGCTCTGCCGAAAACAAACATAATGCATGGAAAAGAACTTCTGGTATGAAATGGTTCTAGAGTGATCACCTGTAACTTGCGAGACTCCAAATCTTGTGAATAGACGATCATCGACCTTAAGATCCGCAGCTCTCTTGTAGACCAGTTTCTCTTCGACTTGAACTGGGATGAAATGACCAGCAGTGAGCTCAAGGACACTTTCATCAGTTTTGACTTGCAAAAACTTATGAGCAGCGTCAAGTTCCTTGTGTCCAAACGCATATATTTCCGAGTAGCCACTTCCTGGTCCCCCTGCAACCTATGAAATCCCAAAGGACCAAATTTCAACACAAAAAATCATGGCATTCTAAAACACAAAACCTTGTCCCCAATTTTGAGGTCCTTCATGGCTCTTGATCCTCCATCATACAGATGTACCAAAGCATCACCTGCTTAAAAATATAGAGCTAAAAACACTACAAATTTCTACTCCATTACCTGGGAAGCAGCCATCTGCAATGCAAGCAAAGGTTTTCATACCATTAACAACGATTTTCCTACACTTGAACCCAGCAGTGCAGTTGTCTGGAATGGGTAGACATGCTTCTCCAGATTGTGCAGTCACACATGGAATGAGCTCAACAAGACTTATCAAAGGCAGGAAAAATAGCAAGGAAGCCATGGCCTTAGGAATCATGTAGGTAGCCAATACATATTGACATTTACTAAACACTAATAATATTAATATTAATTATAGTATGGAGAGGAATTATTACCTACTAAAATCTTATCAAAAACCAGTCGAGCGTCCACCATGCTTCCACACTTGCCATAGAAGTCGACCAAACTAGTCCCAACGATGAGAGATTCTTCCATCTCCAGGCGGCAAGCTAGAGCATGAGTGGCTTTGCCCCGTCCCAAAGAGGCCAGGCTTCCACAAGCCTTGAGAGCAGCAGCCAAGCTGTGAGCGTCCAAAACTCGAGGAGGAATCTCTCGAAAGAGCTCCAAGCCCAGCGCTGCTTGCTTGTTCTCGGCATAGCCCAGGACCATCGAGTTCCATGCTGCGACGTCGTCTCTCGGAATGGTGTCGAAAACTCGTCGAGCATCCCCCATGCTCCCACACTTGGCGTACATCGCCACAAGTCCGCGAGCCACCTCGTAGTCATTCCAGTCCAGCGAGCATGGTAAGCTTGAAAGTGGAACGCCATGCCTCTCTCCAGGCACACCATCTTTGCGTCCACTTCCCCTCTGGATCCCAAGCACGCGCAGAGATTGAGTCCCGAGAGAATTCTCGATCGATCAGCATCATCGCCAAGCTCCACGAACTTGACAAGCTCTAGAGCTCGCTCTTCTTCACCATTCGAGACGTAGCCAAGCAGAAGTGCCGTCCATAAAACCATATCCCGCCCTGGTGTCTTCTCGAAAACTTTCCAGGCATCGTCCATAGTGCCGCACTTCGCGTACAGATCTATCAAAGAGCTTGCCACGAACGCTTCGGTGTCCAGCCTCATGTCCGAAGCTAAACGGTGAAGAGCCATTCCTTTCTCCAAGGCCATAACTTTGGGAAGATTGCTTCCTTCATGTTCCTTCTCTGCTTGTAGAGTACACGCCTTGAACGCGGCTACGAAAGTTCGAGCATTAGGCGAGCACGTCCCCTCAAGCAGCATCAACGTGAACAGCTCAAGAGCAAGCTCAGCTTCTCCATTCTCTACGTATCCCTGGGTCATGACATGCCAAGTCACGATGTTGTTCCTGGGAGGATGGAGCTCGTCAAACACCTTTCGAGCTTCGTCTGGGACACCGTACTTGGAATACATGTCGATCAAACTGCTTGCAACGTAGACGTTGGAGTCGAAGCCATCGGTAGCAGCCCGTGCATGAACAGCCATTCCCTTCTCCAGGTCCACAAAGTTCGCCCAAATCTGAAAGCCATCTTCTGCGTCCCTTGGTACTTCTTTAGTCGCCAGTCGAGTGCAAGCGCTCAACGCTGCAACGTAAGTTTGAGCGTCTGGCTTAAAGACTTCGCTGTTCATCCGCCCGAACAGTTCTAAAGCCACTTCCTCTTCTCCATTCTCGGCATACCCCAAGATTAACGAATTCCAGGAGACCACATTCCGCTGCGTCATCCTGTCAAAAATCCTACGCGCGTCTAGCATGCTCCCACACTTGACGTAAGTATCCACCAGGCAGCTCGCCACATATAAGTCCGAATCGCACTTCTTCCTTGACGTCTCGGAGTGGATCTTCATGACTCTTTCCAGAGAAATGATCTTCACCAAGGAGCCATTGGCTCGTTTTGCTGCCTTTTCCTTCACGGCCAAAACACTGCAAGCCTTGAGTGCCGCCACAAAACTTAGAAAATCCATCTCAGCACCCTCGTGTTGTGAAAACATTTCCAAGGCCATCTCTCCCTGCCCGTTTTCAGCATATCCGAGAACCAATGCAGTCCATGAAACCACAGTCGGACTCTGGATCCCGTAGAAGGCCCTGCTTGAATCCTCCATACTACCACAGTTTGCATAAAAGTCCACCAGCACGTTTGCTACGAATCTGTCCATGTCACAGCCGAAACTTGCAGCTTGGGAGTGGAGAGCCATGCCTTTCTCGAGAGCCCTGAGCTTCACAAGCTTCCCATCGATCAGGGTCGTGTCTTCTTGCTTTGCTAGACAAGCACAAGCTTTGAAGGTGGCTACAAAGCTTCGAGAGTTTGGACCAAAGCCATCAGTTTGCATGAGTTGAAAGAGGTCCAGTGCCAGTTCTGCGTAGCCACTGTCAGCGTATCCCAGCACCATAACATTCCATGACACAAGGTCATGGCGATCCATCCTGTCGAAAAGCCTGCGAGCCTCTGTCAAGCTCCCACACCTGGCGTACATGTTTACCAGTGTGTTTGCTACGTAAATGTTTGAGTCGTCTCCACTTTGAGCTGCCTCTGCGTGAAGTTTGTACCCCATTTCCAGATCCCTGCTCTTGATGCACGTCTTTATAGCCGCAATCAAGCGCGACAAATCTCTGATCTCCTTATTTCTATTCTGATGGATCTCATGGAAATCTCTGACAAAAGTTCTTTTGCTTTGGCTCGTCGAGTAAACCTTGACGTAGAGATTCAGCTTTTCATTTACAAGTCTGTAGAAAAAACAAAGACATACCACCATATACAGGCACTTTTAGTCCGAGGGATAAAAATGTTGGTGGAATGGCGTCCTCAAGTTCCTGTTTCAGCGAAACAACAGCACATTGGTTTCTGAAGAAATCAACTTTCTGAAGAATACCAACGAACGAGTCACTTTTCGAGGGTCTGCAACATTTGCCGGACTTCTTCCACAACCAGCTCGGCCTTTTGACCTCCAATGATCTCTGCTCTCTTTTCCTTGTTCTTCCACAGCTACGAATAAGGAAAAACAGGAAAAGTTAACAACCACAGGACTTGAATGTAAGCAAAATGGATATGGACTGACCTGAATAGTTGGCATTCTCTGGAAAAGGGAAAAAAATGAACAAACCAAATCAAAACACGCAATTACCGAAACACCAACGCGTTTAATCAATGCGTGTGGAACGGCATTGACGTCCACACAAAAGAATTTTGCTCTGCAAAGCAAAGACAGGAATTCCAAAGCCAGCTTCTCCAATTGAGGCTTCAAGTAGATGCATTTCCTACACCACGCTGCCATCCTGTTCCAAATCCATGTAAAATCAAATCAAAAGGAGAAAAGAAGAGACCATTCGATGAGAACGATTGAATCGTCCTCCTGCGCACCCTCGCCACATTCGCGAAGCTCGTGGCCGCCATATCCAAGGTGTTTGAAAACTTTCTAGTCACAATACACGTGGCCGAATCAAGCCGTTCCATCATCTCGGTTTGACGTTACACGTGGCAGACTGATCACATAGTTACGTGGCAGACTGCTAGCCACGTAGAGGAACTTCCACCGTCCGATTCCACACGTGGCAATCTTCTAGCCGTCGATCACTGGCTGAAATCCAGCCTCGGTTGGCCACGCTGCTGCTCAGATCCACATCTCGAAGAGGTTTTCTCAGAGGATTCGACGACCACTTTGCTGCGTGAGGATCAAACGACCACAGCACCAATCGCTTGAATCCCCAGTCGCGGAGCTGGGGCGAGAACTTCTCGAGCGTGCAAGTGAGCAGCATGAGCTTGGCTTCGCGCAAGCACCAGCGAGCCGCGAAGAAGCCCTTTGGCGAGATCTCCTGGACCATGTAGTCTCTCATCCTGTTCACGGGCTTCCACTCCTGGCCGCTCGTCCTCGTCCAGCCTCCACACTTTGAGGTGCCTGTAGTGGTGAGAGCCGCTGCTCCGGTGAGCTCCTACGAGCAGGACGGATCCGGAGCTGGGATCTCGAGTCAAGCTAGCCGCGCTGAGGCGCTCAAACAGCGTCGCTTCCAAGACAAACCAAGTGAGAGCTGCGAAATCGAAACCAACTATACCTCCGCTGGATCGGAGCGGCGACCACAGCAGCTGGGATCCTCGTCTCACCGGCACAATGCTGCGGTCGTCCGATTCCTGGAGATTGGTTTCAGCAATCCATTGGAGTCCATGAGCAATCCATTGGAGTCAACGCCATTGGAGCACATTGGTTTTCAGCGCCGGCGTCTCGCCCTGTACCTCTCGCCACTTTCCAGCTCGCGACTCGTACACAACGATGTACCCGCAGCGTCCAACCAGGACCTTGAAGCCTGAAGATCCACTGCCGCTGTTGCTAGTGACACTGGCGCTGACAGTAACACCCGGTGGCTCCTCGGAAACAATGCCCAGGACGCATGTAAGCGCCGAGGCACTCAGTACCAGCCTCGCCAGTGTCAAAGTCTTGAGCGGAGGGAGCTCCGATAGCTTCTGCCATGACTTCTCAAACAATGGATTCCCCACGTAAAACTCGGGCCTCGCGGAATTCCCCACGCACAGGCACACCAGGCCGTCCCCGCTAGCCACGGAAGTCGCAAAGCGCGAGAGGCCACCGAGACGAATCCAGCTGCCTGTCTCCGCATCAACCATTGACCACTTCAAGCTGCCTTCTTGCTCGACTTGCTCGTCCTTCACCAGAAACCACAACTTCCGTCCAGACCATGTCGAGAGCGAGTCTTTCCAATCCTTGCATACCGCTCGGAGCGTGGAGAGCTTCCAGCCTCCAGTTGATGTTTCAACAAGCGGCACAAGGCAAGCGACATCCCATTCTTTGGCCCGTTATCACCTCCAATGTCTCTTCGCGACAAAGATGGATCTGCGGAGTCTTCTCTATCTGGTGAGGACAAACTCGGGGAGCTGAGCTTGCGCTACTGGATCTCCGACCTCTGGAAGCTGTTTGAACTCCAGAGATGAAGACCAAGGAGATGAAGGTGAGTGCCAAGCGGACGAGGACGATGACCCATAGCTCCGGAGAGTGAAAAGAGTTCCGGAGACGAGGACGAAGTCGAGGTTGAGGAGAAAGATGAGAATCAATCCCATCCACATCCAGAGTTCGCGTTCAAGGTGGTGTGGAAGCGCGGTGTCTGTGCACTTCCCGGTCGGGCACCAAGGGCGTGGATCTCCGCGCGACCTGGCTCTCCGAAACTCTGCCGCGGTTGATGCGCTCCGGAGTGAAGTGTGGCATCCAAAACGTGGAGAGGGGTGCTCTGGCCTGGAACTTGTTTGCGGTGGCGGAGCTGGACTGCATCGGCGTTGTTGAGGTGATCGACGGGGAGATTACCAAGCGGTCACTAGAGCAGTTCGTGCTGGACGAAGAGAAACATTGGTGGCTGATGAACAATTGGGGAAGTTTTTGGTGGCGGACTTGTACGTGCAGCGGAGTCCGGAGGGTCTCGAGTCCCGAGAATATATGAGACGATGATGCTGCTCGACTATCTTCTCCCGGCTTTGCAGTCGCAAAGCTGGACTCTGGAGGACGTAGAGAATCGGATCGATGAGAAGCAGAAAGGCCTTTGCAGCGATCACTAGTTTGCGAATCCTCGGATTATGGCCGAGTGACTAAAACTTATCGACTTTGTGTGTCCGAGACTACCGGCTTCTTCTCAAAACTAGATGATGGAAATGGAGGAAAATCGTAAAACAATCAGCCAAGAGCTCGCGAATCATCTCGCTCTTGCTTGGACCGATCGAGGACAACAGCCCAAAATCTTGATCGAAAGATTAAGAAAGAACCTTAGAGAATATCCACAAGGGTAGAGCCAAAGGGATAAAGTACCTCTATTCTCTCGCCACGTCTCGCTTTATCCGGAAATATTTAGGGTTAGGGCTCGCAGGGCAGTGGGATATATAAGCAGTGTAGGGTTGGGAGATGGCTTCCGGTGACACGGGCGCGATCGAGGCGGGTCCCGTGGCGGCGCCTCCTCCCACAGCGGCGTCCACGACCAAGAGGAAGCGGCGCCTTGCGGATCTAACAGCTGAGGAGGTTTGTAATCGCCAAGCACAAAAAAAAAAAGGAGTTTCTTTTGCGAGGTTTTCTTGTCTCGATCCAATTTTGATCCATTTCGATCTAACGCTAGCGTGTAGAGGGTCTAAACATTGATGCATTTGCTCTCTTTTTGCAGAGTTTTTGAGAGCTCCTCGGTCTTGAGAGGGAGGTTTTGTGAATGCGGCTTCTTTTAAGTGGTCTCTTCCATTGCAGATAAACGAGATTGTGGCACTGAGAGGGAAAATGCCTCAGACTGTTGTGGGGAAGCGATTTGGCATTGAGCAAACGGAGGTTAGTGCCATCCAGCGCTTGCAAAGAGCCAAGACTGCTCGGCTTCTCGAGGACCAAGAGAAGAAGGTAAAGTTCGATAAGTTCTATCAATCGATCTAACTTCCGGTTTTCCTCCATAGAATCCTATCAAGAGAGTGAAGAATGTGGAATTATCAGTTCCAATAGCGTATGGTACCATATCTTTCTGGCTGGGGAAGAAAGCAGACGAGTAAGAAGTCACGTTTTTTTTTTTTTTTTTCCTAACTTTTTTGTGCTTTTTCTTTTCTAGCTTGCATTCTCATAAATGGACCGTGTACATCCGTAGTGCCACCAATGAAGACTTAGGACCAATTATCAGCAAAGTGGTGTTTCAGCTACACCCGAGCTTTAACAATCCAACTCGAGTTGTGGAATCAGCTCCATTTGAGCTAAGCGAATCGGGATGGGGGGAGTTTGAGATCAGCATGACGGTGTTTTTCCAAAAAGATGCGGCTGAGAAGACGCTCGAGCTGTAAGTTCCTTCCACCAGATTTAACATTCGTCTCAAAAGAAACCTCTTCCACCAGGTTTCACCACTTGAAGTTGTACCACGAAGATGACAATGCTCCACAGAGCACGAAAAAGCCTGTGGTTGTGGAGTCGTATGACGAGCTGGTGTTCCAAGAGCCGACGGAAGCGTTCTACTCGAGGGTGAAAAACCTCCCGGCAGTTCATGTGAATGGCTCGCCAGGCGAGCTCAATGTCTCGTCGGGTAAGGCAGTGATGGTTTCGTAGTTCTTATCTATTCTCTATGCTTTTCTTTCTAGGTGCTCTAGAAATCTCAAACGAGAGGAAACGAGGAGACACCAAAGATCATCAGCTCGGCCAGTGGTTTGGCAAGTACTCGGAAACGGATGAGTTAACGTCGATCATGGGGGCTCGACAACAGGTACAAAAAGAGATCGCGAAGTTGAAAAGTATGCTTGATTCTGAAGCAATGAAACTCAAGCCGAGCGCTCCTTAGATGTTTTCCAAACAGCATTATAGTTCGACTTAGCCCGTGGTAAAAGTTCTAGCTACTCTCCTCGGAAAATGTATCAGTGCTCTCGAGAGGCTTAAGAACAGGTCCCGGAATTACAATATCTTTCAAACATTGTTGTTACTGGACTGGAGTTTGCTGTTTAATGCAATAGAATTGCTAAGATGTTTGCATCCTATCATTTCAGCTAAAATGGCTCACAAGGAGTTGGAAGTTTTGATTAAAGGGATAAGAGATATGATGGAGCCGAAAAAACTTGTGCTTCTTCCAGGTCTTCACATGTGCGCATGTTGAAAATCCAGTGGTCAATTTAAATTAAAGGTTGAGGGCAAGAGCGTCCTTCCTCGAGGAGTTTTCCTGCCTCCATAGCTTGCATCAGTGAAGGCAAGTGATGGTTATCTTGGATCCCTTTCCGGGCGTGGTAATCAGTGATACTTTGGAGATATTTTGGAGATGAGGATTTCAGTTTTGACTATTGAGGTGAGTGTGTGTTTTATTATGGAAACTCACAATACACGGTAGTAGTTCTATGCAAAAAACTTTTGTCCATTAACTTTATTCCTATAGAGCCTACACCAATCTTCTGGGACAACTTGCACTCACAAAAGGAAACGACGTTCGAACGAAGTTTCACTTCATACGGGACCATGTTCGGGAGGGAACTTTAAAAGTTTATTTTCTTCTAAGCCACAAACAGAGCACAGACAATTTTACTAAACCTTTAGTAGAGGCCATGTTCATAAATCATCATCACACTCTAGGCTCCTAGTTAGCTCTAGTTAGCTAGTAGAACCCATATCAATCTTGAAAGCAATCTAGGAGTTTTTCAGAGGAAGAACTCCCAGATTGTAACGATGATTTGGGAATGTGGCCTATGCTAAGAAAATGTTCAATCTGTTTGTAGAAATGAACCTTTAGAGTTCCTTCTTGAGCATGGTTTTTGTTAAACCACTGGATTTTGCAACATGTGCACATTGTTTGAATGTGCTTCCTTTTGCCATGATGCCTCACTTCCTTTGTGAGTGCAATTGTTGCGGCAAAGATTACTATAGGCTCTATAGGAATAAAGCTGATGGATAAAAGATTTTTATGTAGTAAAAAAGCCTCTTATGTCATTGCTGTTAATGCCACATACTTTGCTTTTGTGCTACGCAGAGCTGTAACATGTTGCTTCTTACTTACCTCCTATAGTTGAACCTGAATTCTCCACAAATGGAGACAACTCCTACAACACGATGTCAGAAAGTGTACATACAATCAAGTACAGCAGGCTGCTAACAGCTTAACGATATAGGATGCCAATCATATTATTGTGATCCTCAGCCATACTAGCAACATGCGATGACTCAGAATGAAGTTGGAATTCATCAGAGTCGTACTAGTTTAGCACCTTGCATGTGAAAATAGTGATCCTTTAGCACACTGCTTTGACAATTACTCTTAATTGGATTGATGATCATGTGTTCATATTCTTAAGGCACACACTTTCCAAGAACCTTTTGTAATAAGAAAAGACTTTGTCCAGTTTAGAACCTCAGGAACTATCTACTCAAAAGTTTTTCAAGATTGTATTTGAACTATAGTTACTTTGAGATGATCATCAATACCATTATTAAGTTTTACTTTTAACTTCAAATAATTTGATTGAGAACTTCTTAAAAGTGGCTTAGATACTCCTCAGAACTTTCGATGTCTTGTTTTTCTATCTTGCCAGTATTGCTCTAATTTACTTTGGAACTCTTGGATAAATCCAAGTGACTTTAATAGACTTTGGTGTGTACTCGTCCAGTGATTCCTAATGCTTTATGATCTTGTTACTTCCAATATTTATTCATGAGAGATGGGCCAAAAATAGCTTTAGATACATACAATCAACAACACTCTAAATATTCTTCTCCTTATGATATAGCTGCATCATAATTTAATGACATTGTATGGCTTAAGAAGGAACTAAAAGGAGGAGCTATGATCTAAACTAACACTCCAATATGGTGTGAGAAAAGAAAGAACATAGATCTGCTTGATAAATTTAATAAAAAACCTGCTCTATAAATACTAAGCAACTAGAGGTAATCACAAGTGAAGAACTACAGCTAACTGAAGTTGTATGGAGGTGGTAGACTCTGCTATGCTGCAACAGAGGCAAAATCATCACCTTAGCCAACTCTGAAACAACTGAGTTAATGTAGATCATGGGGAAGCAATGAAACTAAGTTTTCTAAACAGGGTTAGCTTGACTCAATTTAGCTTAAAGGAGTGATGATAAAAGTTTCACATTACAAAGCCAAAATGTATCAGTTAGAACGGGTTTCATAATTTTATGGAAGGTAAATTGTTCAAAGATTGTGACTCAAGCTGAGTTTGATAAATCTTCACCATGCCTTATATTAACTAGGTTTGCTTCCTATCATTTTCGTAGCAACTTCAATTGCAGGCACTAAAAGTTTTCTAGCTCCTCCTTTTTAGAGTATTTAAGTTATGATATGAACTGCCAAAAATAATTCTACAAAATCAGCTATTATGAAACAGTACTGCCAATTGTAGGATGATCCTACTTCCAAAATGCTAGATCTTCATTTCCCTGGTGATGCACAACTTATAAACCTGGCGTGAAGTTAGCCGAAGCAAGGGATCCGTGGCGCAATGGTAGCGCGTCTGACTCCAGATCAGAAGGCTGCGTGTTCGAGTCACGCCGGGTTCACTAAAAATGCTTAAGATTGACTTTATACCTTTGTAAGCAAAACAAAAGTGAAATTCTTTTACCCCTTTGGATTTGCTATTTTGCCCTGACGCTTTTCACCCCCAAACCGAGAATCGCAAGGAAATCTCTTCCAATTTAGCAATGTGCGCCATAGCCAAAATGGAAGCCAAGTGTGGAAGCTACTGCCACGTGTCGGTAGCAGTGAGCGGTGATTTTGGGCGAATTTGGAGCGATTCTTTGGCATTGGCGGCGGCCTCGAATTCGAGGATTTGTTTCTGCGCTGTGATCCAATCACTTCTCTCATCGATCTTGAGATGGGCCGGGCCAAGATCGAGATCAAGAAGATCGAGAATCGCAGCGCCAGGCAGGTTTGCTTCTCCAAGCGTCGCATGGGTCTCATCAAGAAGGCCAGCGAGCTCTCCATACTCTGTGGCTCCGAGGTTGGGATCATCGTCTTCTCGCAGGCTGGCAAAGCCTTCTCTTTCGGGCATCCCTGCATCGACTACGTGATTGACAAGACGCTCAAGCGCCCCGTGCAGATCAATTGCGAGAAGATCGAGAAGATCCGGCAGCTAGAGAAGCAGTACAACGAATTGCTCCAGGAGCTGGAGAATGAGACTGAGAAGCACACCATCTTGCAAAGGGAGTTCGCGGGAGGAGGGCGTGGATTGCAGTGGTGGGAGGAAGATGTGAGTGGCATGGGAATCGAAGAGCTCAAGCAGCATGCCGAGTCGCTGGAAGCCATGTACAGGGTTGTGATTGAGCGCGCCAAGTTCTTGCAAATCCAGGCATCGCTCGTGTCCTATCAATTGCCATCGCATTTCTTAGGCGATCACAACTTCCAGCACGAGCAAACCCATGAAATGCATCAGCTCTCTCTGCTAGTAGCTCCAATTCCAGATGATTTGTGTGAGAAAAGCAAGGAATTGTAGATAAGAGGATTCTAACTTGTGTACATTTGTTACATTGTTGGAATTTAGGGTTCTTAGTTTGTTCTTAGTTTGTAGTGGGGAATGGGGCGCCTAGGTTGCTGCCGCCGCTTCTCCGCGCAGGCCGAATCGAGCTTGCAGCACGCGGCCAAGCGCCTGGAGAATGTGGTGGTGGTAGCTGCCAAGCGGACCCCAATTGGCGCCTTCCAGGGATTGCTCTCGCCTCTCAGAGCGTGGGAGCTCGGCGCAGCGGCCATCAAAGGTATGCTGGGAAATTCTTTCAGTCCGGCACAGAACTTGTGAGTGTTTGATTTGTTTGCAGCCGTTGTGGAAGAGAGTAAGATCGATCCAAAGCAAGTGCAAGAGGTGTACATGGGAAATGTGCTGAGCTCCGGACTTGGCCAAGCGCCGGCACGCCAAGCTGCTCTTGTCCGTTCATCCTGTATTTCTCTTTCACTCTTCACGATCATAATTCTCGCTCGTCTTGATGCAAATTATGGTTGTGATGATCGAACTGGAGATCCAAGTTTCTTTCTCTCGCTGACAGGTTCTCGTCTGTGATTTTTTGCAGGGTGCTGGGCTTTCAGCGAAGACCATTTGCACAACTGTGAACAAAGTTTGTGCTTCCGGCATGAAAGGTTTGGAGTAGTTTTCTTATCTTTGTTACAGTTTGTGAACAAGTGTTGGCTTCGTTTTCGACAGCGGTGATGCTAGCTGCTCAGAGCATCGCACTGGGAACAAATGAGCTCGTCGTGGCTGGCGGAATGGAAAGCATGTCGAATGCTCCATTTCTTCTTCCGCGCCAGAATCCTTCAAAGAAGCTCATGGGAGATTTGACTGTAAAGGACAGCATGTTTTGTGACGGTCTCCGTGATGCCTTCACGAACAACGCGATGGGAACTTATGCTGAATCTTGCGCTCAGGAAATGGGAATCTCAAGGGAAGAACAGGTTTGCCGTCTAATCTTTCTCTTTTTCATTTTTCTTGGTGTCTTGTCTAAAACTTGTTTTACCAGGATGTTCACGCTATCGTGAGCTACGAGCGTGCCATATCGGCTCGAGAAGCAGGAACCGCGAGCGCGGAAGTGACGCCAATTATCATTGCTGGTAAGAAAGGGAAGGAACCCGTGCTAGTCAGTATCGATGAAGAGTGCTCCCGGGTATTTTTCTCTTCTCAATTCATTCGTTCATCGTATGTGTTTCAAGATGACGGTTGTTCTATTTGTTTGATGCTAGTTTGATCCGGATAAAATGCGGGAGCTTCTCCCGGTCTTCAAGACCGATGGATCGGTAACTGCTGCCAACTCGTCGAAAATAAGCGATGGAGCGGCGGCGCTTTTGCTGGCCTCCGCAGAGTTCGCGGAGAAGAACAAGCTGCCGGTGATTGCTACCATCCGGGGCTTTGCGGACGCAGCTCAGGTACGCAACTAGTAAAAAGATGTGCTGTTTCCAGTGCTGAGGCAGCCTTCGTGTTCTTTTCTTCTTCGTCAGCCTCCAGAAAAGTTTCCAACCAGTCCGGCCGTGGCAATTCCTCGAGCTCTAGCACATGCACGTCGGAAGCTCAACGACGTTGACTTGTTCGAGATTAACGAGGCATTCTCTGTAAGTTTCTCCTCAGTCTTGATAATATCAAAGTGCTCTTTCCTTCTTGCTTTGCTGTGTCTACAGGTTGTGACTTTGGCCAACTGCAAGCTGCTCGGGATCTCTAACGACGATGTGAACGTTTCCGGCGGCGCTGTTGCATTGGGCCATCCGATTGGTGCGTCCGGAGCCAGGATCATGGTGTCGCTCATAAACAATCTGAGGAGCAGGGACAAGCAGGTTGGTGTTGCAGCTGTGTGCAATGGCGGTGGTGGAGCCTCAGCCATTGTGGTGGAGAGGACACAGCAGGTGGTGGGAGACAAGCAGGCCAAAAGTGCATCAAGTGAATAGCCAAGGTCATGAAAGAAGCAAAAGGAGAGGAAAGAGAAAAGCTGGATCACACATCATCTAGTTGCACAGCCTTGTTGGATTATTAAACAGAAATGAATATTAAGCGAAACAGATGGGTCTGAGGATAGAGAGGAGATAATTACCTTAGAAGAAGTGAAACACACTCTCGGTGGTAGTCTGAATATTAGTTTTTGCAGTCTGTTTACAACTAGGGCATTATGCCAGTCAACCCCATTGGTGTTAAGAGCACAAGTGAGCACACAGATCACCACATAAGAAACATCTTCTCCGTGGGAAAAACCATTTTAACAAGTGTTCTAGATGCATCTTTTTGTCATGGTTCAAAGTTAGCAACATTTATTATAGGTTATTTGGTATCTGACAAGAAGCCTAAACCTAAACCTTGAACCCTTTCTTAGAATAAAATTAAAGCTTTGATGTAAAAATAGATTTTAGAACAAATTTTATTATATGCTCATCTCCTTTTAATATATGGATATACATTCCCTAATGTCTAAACTAGTACAATGCAAAGAATTTAAGCGAAATTCTTTCAAACGTGAAAAGGTGAGTATCATGGCCTTTCCATTTCCCAAGTGGCTCCCTTATAAAACTAGAGTTGCCTACTATGCACTAGTGAAGCAAAATTCATTTTAAGACAAGATGCCAAACCTTTTCCTATTGACTAGCTTCTTTGAAGCCACATTAGGTGACTTCCCACATATAATACCACTTTGTGTGTTATTATAACATAGAATGTTTTAGATTTAATAAAAGAACCAAAAATATTTTTTCTATATTAAATATTTAACATATATTACACACTTTCCATGTCTTTCAATGTGAAAGAAAAAGTTATACATAAAAATATCAGAAAAGAAATCCTCAAACTTGTGAGCAAGACTAGCAATTGTTAAATGAAATTAACGGTATAATAAATAGTATTAGAATATTCTTCAATCTAATCAAGATTTTCTTATACTAAACTTTTATAAAATTTCTTTAGTTCTTTTATAATATAATGTTTAATATTAAATATTTTTTGCAAAAAATATTTAACATTAGTCTATAGGATATATGTCTAAGAAAGGATTTGATAGCTCTATATAGTGTCTTTGCAGCTCCTCCTTTATGGGAGGATTGGAGAGTAAATTTCCCAACTTAGTTTTATCTCTCATTTTCTAGGAGAATGACAGTTTTTTTCTTGTTTCTAAGCTGCAAGACCTACAAAGGAAAACCCATTATGATCTTTACAGGTAAGAACTAGAGTGGAAAAGGTCTATAAAGCTCTTGGAGAGGATATGTTCTGGCCCATACTCTACCACTATTATGGCCAAAAGTTTCACTTGCGCCTCAGTGCCAAAGGTATGGAGTGAAAAATGATTTGAACTTTAGTATTTTCTTGGAAGCTGGGAGGGAGAGGAAAGAGATTTTAAGAATACTCTCTTAAGTTTGTAAATAAGGAATAAATCTCTTGTTTCTTCTTCTTCTTATGGGGAAAAAGCTTTCTTCCCTTTTCCACTCTGATTTGTGAGGTCTCAAAGCATAAATTGTCAAAGAAT